CGAAGGACCCGCTCCAGGGACCCCAAAAAAACTCTCATGGGGGCCTCTGCGGGACCTGGGGCAAATTATCCCACTTCGCCCCCCCCCACCCCCCCCGCGCGGGTGGCCCTGCAGAAGACTTACCTACATGCGACAAAGAATAACATTTTTCAGTCAATCTGGTGACTTTCAGGCATTGTATTGTCAAATGGGAAACAATGATTTATAATTGGCCTCAGAAGTGCTAAGATTAAGGCCATACACCTAAACTACAGTGCGCATCATTAAAAACTCAACTATCACTTTCCAAGCTGCAATAATAGTATCATCTACTCTTAGAATATGTTGTGGCACTAAGGAGTGACAAATGCGTTTTAATTGTGCCCACTGTATCTAGGAGGTGACAGGGCTCTACATAACCAGGGTCCCCATGAATACACTCCTTGAGCAATACATGTAATGCCACTAATAGCACTGCATCACTAGCAGAACTGCCACAGAATTGCTTGGCTATCACAGGCATGGAGTGAGCCAGGTGGGATCTCTCTCATTTTGCATAGGTACCCACAAAAGCTAGGATCAACCTCGAAACAAGAAGACTCCTCAGAGGTGATATGGGGAGAGATGCTGGGCTCAGCCATGTTCATAGGATTCTTTGGCACCCAGAATAAGTAATCAGTGGGGTAGGCTCGTTACCTCTCTCTTCCTATTAGTCAGTGGCAACATCAATATCTAATTAGGTAAATGTATAAGATCAATCATTATAACAGTAACAATAACAATAATAATAATAATATATTAATGTTTGGTTTTAATTATCATTTTAGGTGAGAAACCATATGAGTGTCCAAACTGCAAGAAACGTTTCTCCCATTCTGGCTCCTACAGTTCGCACATCAGCAGCAAGAAATGTATTGGCTTAATCTCTGTAAATGGCAGAATGAGAAACAATATCAAGACGGGTTCTTCTCCTAATTCTGTATCTTCCTCTCCTACTAATTCAGCCATTACACAGCTGAGAAACAAGCTGGAGAACGGCAAACCACTTAGTATGTCTGAGCAAACAGGCTTACTGAAAATTAAAACAGAACCACTAGATTTCAATGAATACAAGGTTCTTATGGCCACACATGGGTTTAGTGGAGCTAGTCCTTTTATGAATGGTGGACTTGGAGCAACCAGCCCATTAGGAGTTCATGCTTCTGCTCAAAGTCCAATGCAGCACTTAGGTGTAGGGATGGAAACATCACTACTTGGGTTTCCTGCAATAGGCAGTAATTTAAGTGAGGTGCAGAAGGTCCTACAGATTGTGGACAACACGGTTTCCAGGCAGAAAATGGACTGCAAGGCTGAAGAGATCTCAAAGCTGAAGGGTTATCACATGAAGGATCAATGCCCTCAAACCGAGGAACAAGGAGTTACTTCCCCTAATATTCCACCAGTGGGTCTTCCAGTAGTGAGTCATAATGGTGCCACTAAAAGTATTATTGACTATACATTAGAAAAAGTCAATGAAGCCAAAGCTTGTCTCCAGAGCTTGACCACAGACTCAAGGAGGCAGCTCAGTAATATTAAAAAAGAGAAGCTGCGTACCCTAATAGATCTGGTAACTGAAGATAAGATGATAGAGAACCACAATATATCCACTCCATTTTCATGCCAGTTCTGTAAAGAAAGCTTTCCTGGTCCCATTCCCCTGCATCAGCATGAGCGTTACCTGTGTAAGATGAATGAAGAAATCAAGGCAGTCCTTCAACCTCATGAAAACATGGTACCCAACAAACCTGGAGTGTTTGTTGATAAGCAAGCCCTCCTGTTGTCATCAGTACTTTCTGAGAAAGGAATGACTAGCCCCATCAATTCATACAAGGACCACATGTCTGTACTTAAAGCATATTATGCTATGAATATGGAACCCAACTCTGATGAACTACTGAAAATTTCCATTGCCGTTGGCCTTCCTCAGGAATTTGTGAAGGAATGGTTTGAACAAAGAAAATTCTACCAGTATTCAAGTTCCAGGTCACCATCACTGGAAAGGACCAGTGCCAAGGCGGTGCTGGCTGCCACTAACACTCCCACTAAAGACTCTTTGTCAGCCAGATCTCCAATAAAGCCTGTGGACTCTATAACTTCACCATCTATAGCTGAACTCCACAACAGTATTACTAATTGTGATACTCCTCTCAGGCTAACAAAACCTACACATTTTACCAATATTAAACCAGTTGATAAATTGGACCACTCCAGGAGCAATACTCCTTCTCCTTTAAATCTTTCTTCCACATCTTCTAAAAACTCCCATAGCAGTTCTTACACTCCAAACAGTTTCTCCTCTGAGGAGCTTCAGGCTGAGCCTTTGGACTTGTCTTTACCAAAACAAATGAAGGAACCCAAAAGTGTTATAGCCACAAAGAACAAAACAAAATCTAGTAGCATAAATTTAGACCACAACAGTGTTTCTTCATCATCTGAAAATTCAGATGAGCCGCTGAACTTGACTTTTATCAAGAAGGAGTTTTCTAATTCAAATAATCTGGATAAAAGCACTAACCCAGTGTTTGGTTTGAACCCATTTAGTGCCAAACCTTTATACACAACACTCCCACCACAAAGCGCATTTCCTCCGGCCACTTTTATGCCACCAGTCCAGACCAGTATTCCTGGGCTGCGACCATACCCAGGACTAGATCAAATGAGCTTCCTACCACATATGGCCTATACTTATCCAACTGGAGCAGCTACTTTTGCTGATATGCAGCAAAGGAGAAAGTTCCAGCGGAAACAAGGATTTCAGGTACATAGTCATAATTGGTTTGTTTTGAAAGGCTACATTTCAGTATCCCTTGTCATGTCCTTTTATATGAAAAAAACAGTCCCCAAAGTTAAATGAAACCTTTCCAACAGACATAGAATTTTAGCTTGAACTTGAAAAGTATGGTGGGAACATTGATTCAATACAGAAGACATATGAACACATTTAATGTTTATAGGGTGACCAGACTGCAAATGTGAAAAATCAGGACAGGAGGTAGGGGGTAATAGGAACCTATATAAGAAAAAGACCCAAAAATCGGGACTGTCCCTATAAAATATGGACATCTGGTCACCCTAAATGTTTAGCTTTTAATTTCATTAGGGTGATATTTGTCCTCCACGAGAATTTTATATACCTGTCAATGGCCCAGAGAATTCCCATTGACAGAAAACACTGCCCTGTACCTCCATAATGGTTCTGCACCACTACAAATCCTGTAGGCTCCCTAGCACCATGGCTTCATTGGAACTGCTCTGCCTGGAACGTCCCCCAGCTTATGGCAGCCTCCAAGACCCACAGGGAGGACTCCATATTTTCTTAACTAGTTTCTATGAAGTCAGAGGAGGGACAATATGTATCCCTACCCTTGGCCTTGCCTCAGGCCAACCTACACCTCCCCTCAGCACATCCAGTTCCCATTACTTACCCCTACATTGACTTACCACACAGAGGCTTGCAGGAGGGCCAGAAATGGAAAGGAATGGTCTGTGGAAGTGGCATCTGAGCCCACCCATTTCCATGTAAAGGCCCCTCCATGTTTATATCTAAGGGGCATGATTTGGGTTACATTTGTTAGTTCCTGGGTATGATCCTATAATCCTTTCTCAGGTAAAGTCCCATAGAAATCAATGAGTAAAGGGTATATGATCTGGTCACTTAGGTAAATATGCCAAAAGGTTAGTCTAGTGAAATCACTTTCCTCTACAGATATTCATAGTGTGTAAGAATATACATGTGTGTATGTATTAAAATATAAGGTACACAGTTTAGTTAAATGAGTTTAATTGATTATAGATGAATACGTTTTTACATTTGTGGACATTCCCCTATGACCTATTATGCTCCATTAGTAATTTTGCTAACAATGTTTTATAGTTTCAAATGTGAAAATCAGGTATGGCTTAACGTTATAGCCTGTAATCCCTCTTTGCACAATAGGAGCATAAATAGCACTGCACCTCCATAACAGCTGTTCCACTATTCCAATTTACAGTACATCTGCCCTCTTTGTAAATGTATTTAAGCCTATTTAATCTTCTCTAATATTAATTAGTGCAAACCTAGTCTAAGAAAACTGAACTGTGTGATAGCAAATGGAAATGTATGTTATCATGCAAGTTTGCACTCTCTTTGGATCAAGACAAAATAAATATCAAGAAATTTAATAATTTACTGATCCACATTCATTATTGCTTAATGCTGAAGGCTGTTTTAACATAGATAGAACATTGATAAAAAGTGTTATTAATATTCCCTATTTCAAATTACAAAATTAAATATAAAAATATAGCTTGAGGCCTTTAGTCGGGAGACATACATTTAAATGGATTGCATAATAATAACATTTTGTACCTAAATATAAAATTCAATTAAAACCTTTCTACAGATACAGAATATATCTACGGTTCAGTGTTTTGACAGAAAAGATCTTTAGTTGTTCCTTATATTTATTTCATAAAAGATATTAAAATACCTTTTATGATCTTTGAATATAGTCTTTTACATGATCATTTCCTGCTCCCTGAAATACTTAGCATCTATATCATAAACACTCTCTGTTTAGATAATTCATACAACTTCTTACTACACAGTGTTCAAAAGAAGACAGAGTTTTCTAAGGCAGTTGAAGACCAAGAGGGACAATGACAGAAGCAGATGTTCGGTCCAGTCTTGTAAACATTTTCTACTGGGCGTAGTTATTATAATGAGTAGCCCATGAGCCAATGGGATTAGTCGTGGTATTAAGCACTGTGCTCAGAAGTTTTAGCAGGATCAGGTCCTTGCTGAGTATCATTTTAAGTCTTATAGAATAGCTCCCTAATTCTATATACTGTAGAAAGACAAGATGCTGCAGTAAGCCACAAAATACAGGAAGCACAGTGTTTTACATAAACAATTTGGTTACATCACAGGGAGAATTGCTTGATGGAACACCAGACTACATGTCAGGCCTAGACGACATGACAGACTCTGACTCCTGTCTGTCCCGAAAGAAGATCAAGAAGACAGAAAGTGGCATGTATGCATGTGACTTATGTGACAAAACATTCCAGAAAAGCAGTTCCCTTCTGCGACACAAATATGAGCACACAGGTATGAATGCCTTAAATGTGTAGTTAGACTTTCATTGCATGTTGTACATTTCATAATATTTAATGAGTACACTTGTGCGACATAAGATGCAGCATATGCTGAGACTTTCAACAAGAAAGAAATAATGTGTTTTCTTTGCTCAGATTGACTTTTTTTCTTTACTTGTGTATTTGTTGTTTGTGCTTTTTTGTTTGTTTTGTTTTGTTGCATCTTAATATCTTTTTTGCTCACCCCAAAATACAATGTACAGACTATGAGCCCAATCCTGACAGATCTTGTCCCACTGAAAGCAACCGGAATTGAGGGCTCTCAGCAGCTCACAGGATAAATCCCTATGTTAACAAATTTCAAGGGAGGCTGGCCCAGTGGCATAGTTAGAGAATGAAATTTGATATATTACAAGGCCTGGAATGAGGAATGATATTGTTTCTTACTCAGGATCTAATCCCGCACCATTTAAATCAATAGAAAAATTCCCTTTGCCTTAATGTAAAGTGTAAAACCTGCCCCTCAATGAGCTATTTAAACAGAGTAAATCCCTCTCATTGGCTTGAAGTGCCTAAAGAGAGAGAGGTTGCATCTTACTTTTTCACTTTTTACTGCCTCATTATACAGCAATTGTTAACTGTTTCCAAGTGCAGGTGGTTTTGGTTACTGTGAAGAAGGGGTGGAGGTTAATGTAAAATGGGAGCCTAAGATAAAGAAGTGTGTAAAAACCCTACAGTCCCCACTTACATTGGCCATGATAGACTATATCTCTTTCAAGGTGATCAATCCCTTTACTTGAGCCCAGGGCAGAACTGGATTAGGAAATGAAAAACCCACACTTTAGTTCAAAATAGTTTGGAAAGGGGAAAAACAGGACTTGGGGTCCAAAAAACAATACAAACAGCTAGTTTCTTGAGTCAGCATAAAAATATGATATCAGTTTTCATGTTTCAGAAAAGATGCCAATCTCCAACTGCTTAGGGTTAGGAAACTTTTAACTTGGCGCAGTGCTTCCAAAACATGAGTGAAGCCCTGCTTTTAGGAAAATGAAATGAGTCACACCTTCCCATTCTTCTTCTTCTTCAACCACATCATGTGTGGTTAAAAACCTACACACCTCAATTAAAACATCTTCCATGTCCCCACACCCTTGGCTAGTACTTCATGTCCCCTCCCCTCACAAACACACACACACATTTCGGGAAACCCATCTGTAGATCTTCATAATGTGATACCTCCTCTCCTTTCTTACGTGCCTTGAGGAGCTGTAAAATAGTTAACAAAGTTGACATTTAAAGTATTATCATTGGCATCTGAGGTTCCGCCCATTGAAATAAATGCACACCTCAGAGCTAGTGTATAGGCTCTCTGCAAACTCAGGCAGACCTCTCTGAACTGATTACACTTGCTTCACATTTTGAAGGTTTGTTTCACAGCCATAACTGCTAGAGAAGCTGAGCCTCTGGATTACAATTTAATAGTTTACCGGCCCTCTACCCCCTATCCTTTGCATTTCCTTGGGGTGCTGCACCCTCACTGAGAAACATTGCCTTATGGGCAAGTATTTTTATAATTGTTCATTTTGGGGTTTCTAGCATCTTCCTCTGAAGCATCTGGTGCTTATCACTGTCAGAAACTGAATATTGGAGTATCATTAGTCTGATCCTGCATGCCAGTTCCTATTGTTCTAAATCAGGAGGACTCATAATAAAGACATCAAACAGTGGGGTAACATTACCCTCCCCCCTACAATCATGGTTCTGAGCCTACAGAGATGCCCGTGGTAACCTTCTTCAAGTTGCAGGTAAAAATAAAATGGAATTTGAAGAGACATTTTAGAAAATGCTGGTGATAGTGTTAAAACTGAGTTATAAAAAAATTACTGGCATGTTTTAAAAAAACGATTAACATTTGTCATGGAAGTTTAGCAGCTGAGGTTTGGACTGTGCTTTAGATAAATTTCATCATCTTGTGATCATTCCTTCTTACACTTTAGTTCTATTTTTTTAGCTAAATCCCTCACAGAAAAATAGGAAGGAAGTTAAAATGCACATGGGATTAGGAAAGAAAATTAAAAGCACCATTTTGGACCAGACTGGTTGGTTCATTGCTGAAAATGAGTTTCACATTGCATTATTCAGATCAAATTGTTTATTCCATACAAGAAGCTTTGAAGGCTTTACGCCCCTGCACCTTTTCTCTCCTGAATGATTTTATTGCAGCCATCTGCAAACATTATGGTTTACTACATGACTACCGTAAAGCTCTTATGTTAGAACTGGCCTTCATATATATCGGGATCCGGACATATGGTCCAGTCCCATAAAGTTGGAGTCCATAAGGTAGACAGACATACGGTTGAAAGGCTGAAAATTTGACATGTTGAAATGCGGGCAATCACCTTGATTTGCAAAATTTACTATTTGAAAAATCAAAAATATGTTCTGGTATATAAAAAGGACTATCTACTGCCTCGAAAAACATTGTCCAGCTATAGGATGCTAAATTTCCTCTCTCTTCACTACTCTGCTTCTCTTGGCTTTTCAACCATATGTCTATCAATTTTATGGGATTTAGCCTTATGATCCAGAACATATATATGGTGTCATATTTAATACAGTAGAACTACTGTATATCGAAGCTCTAGTGGTATTTACAGAGAGGAAGGATGGTCTTGTGGCAAAAGCGTAGATGCTGAAGCTATAAGATCTGTGTTTTGTCCTGCTTTGCCTCAGACTTCCTCTGTGAATTTGAGCAAATTACTTAATCTCTCTCTCATCTTTTCCTATCTGTGAAACGGGGAAATTATACCAGCCTACCTCTCAGGGGTGTTGTGAATCTTAATTCAAGCACACTGAAATCCTCTGATGGAAGTGCTATATAAAGTGCAAAGTATTATTATGAATTTATTTTATTTTATGGAACTTCCAAACGTCATGTTGTAGAGGGGTGTGGAAACTCTGCAGATCTCGATTTGACTGGCCTTGATAGCTCATTCACTACCTTTGGAGGCATGAAGTAATAGGATTTTACGATAAAGATGAAGTTTACAACCACTGTGATTCAAAAGAAATCTAATATTTCAAAGTTTTTCTTCATTTGCCCCTTTTGTTAATCTAAGTGAGTTTCAAATTGTTTTGATACTTTTGGAAAAAGCTATAGTTGTGAAGCTGCAATTACATCTTTTAAGATATATATGAGAAATTTCATATATTTTTTTTATCTGAGCAGCAAATGTGCAGGGATAGATACTCTGCTGACAGCATGATCAATCAGTACAGATCTAAGATTTCATTGTAGTCAGTTGAAGAGCTAGAAAGAGAATTCAGATCTTCTGAGTCCCAGTCCAAAACCCAATAATGCCATCAAAGGTTTCAAAAGGTGTCTCTCTTTCCATACTCAATCTGTGTTTAAGGCAAGACACTTTGTACCACACTTAACTTCTACTTCTGGATTCTGGATCATTATAACAGTTGGCCAAAATTTTTCAATTTCAAAAAAATTTTGCTCAAAAAAGGGAGTAAATATTTAATGAAAATTTTTCACAAAATGTTCCTCTTTTTTGCCCATCTCTAATCTTTATCCCTTTTACTTCATTTAAAAAATGTCTTTTAGGGTCAGTCAGAACGCTTCCTGACCTTCCTAGAGTAACACAAATAGAGAACCCAGCTTATGAATATTTGCTAGTGGATTCCTATTTTATTTCACTTCCCAGATAGTCTCCTTAGAATGGTCTTGGTGCTCTCTTATTCTAGCAGTTGTATCCATGAGATGGCAGGACATTTTTATAAAACGTAACAGGGCTAAACCTTAATCATTACTGGTGGGCTCATTTTACCTGCTTACACATCAACCACATATATTATCTATTGATGCTGTTGTGTTTGTCTGAACCTATACTAAAAATCTGCAGGTTGTCAGGTCTCTGCTTTATTCTTTGATCAATCAATGACATCTTTCATTATTAATACCTTTCAGATCTATATGGTATAACTAGTGTTTAGCCAGTTCCAGAGCAGTCAGATACAGTGGGCTGGATATTCTGATCTGACAAATTCACTGTCCGGACTGACCAGACCAGGGGAAAATTCTGTAGGTGTAAAGTTAGGGAAGGTAGCATAACCACACTGTCTGGTGCCAATTGCCTCACCCCACATCTGGCTGAAGGAGAAAGAGAAAGTGTGTTTGGGGAGGCCTAGGTATCTCGTGGATGTCGGAGTGGAAGGGGGATGTGATGGAGCTGAGCTCCATAATGCCTGATCCTCCACTGTTATGGAAGCAGCAGAAGCAGCATAGGTTGGAGTAAGCCCCCGGTGCTCCAGATTTTGTCAGGGCTGAGGATCAGACAGCTAGAATCACTGTCCAAGTGCAGCTCAAATGTAGTGAAGAATTGGGGCCAGAGAGACTACAATCCATAATTTGGAACTTCTGAGATATATCATTGCCTTTCTGAAAAACAATTTTGGATAGGCTCTGAGCTCTGTAAAATGCTGCCACCTGTAACTTAACTTGCACAAAGAGGACTTGTGTTATTGCTGAATGAATTGCATTGGTTCTCCCAGGTTTATAATGTGGTACACATTTTGGGACCAGTGTATCAGAGTGCCTATCCTGGGGTCAGATTCTGCCAACTTGACTTCAAAAGGGTGTTTGACTTCAAGTGGAGCCATGTGTTCATGTTAGAATAAGAGCCTTTATACGATCATAGTTACTTAAAAATCACCTGACACTGCTCTGTATTTAGGTTATAAATAGAAAATTATTATAGCAAATGCTAGGTAGCACGGTGAGTTAGTGCTTCAGTTATTCTTCTCTGGAGACATGGGAACAGACCCTGACTCTGGTCACAAGTTAAAATTAGTCAGGTAGTTTCATTCTCATTCCCTTTTGTTTATAATATTTAACCATAACAAAATTCAGTACAATTTTAATTTTCTGCTGAGGAGAGGCCCAGAACAGAAATAGTAGCGATTTTGCATTATAAGATAGATATTATGAAGGGTGAATGTGTA